GCTGGAGATTGTGCTTTTTTCGTTTAGCTTCAAATTCAACTCGTTTTTCATTTCTTCTGTTTGTCCCAAGTAAGTTTAGCTGTTCGCAAGCTCATCGAACTGTTTTCCGCAACCCCATATCAAATTGGAGACAATTTGTGTTCTTTATCTACTGTCGACCATATTTCCAAGCAGCGCAGCTGGTAGAAATGCAGAATATAGGTGTCTTAGTTAATAAAAAAGATAATATTTTCTATTAAGTAATTGCGCAGGATTTGGTTTAAAAATTTCAAAATTTTTGGAACACTTCGAAAATTTTCTGATTACGATTTTTTCCTGTTGTTTTCCCAGTCGTTCATGAAACTATAAATGCTTAAATGATTTTTTGTTTTCCTTTTCAGTAAAATTTGCAGATGAATGTTTGTGGGAATTCTGTTGCAGGTGAACAAGCTAAAGGAGGATTTGGTGCAAAAAGGTGACTTGGGCCTGGTTGCCCAAGCGAGTCGTTGCAATCAACGAACTTTGTTCACGCCGGCCCCGCTTACCGTAACTTCGGTCTTCCGAAAATTGCAGGAAATTGCGAAAGCTTCCGGACCTATGGTAAGATAAAAATTATTCGTAAGAGAAGTGTCCAGTAATGGATCTGGTGACGCTGAGGACTAACCATGCATAGGCTTCGATTTTGTTTACTTCACTTTCACGTTCAAACGCCACTTTTTGGGAAAAGAAAAAACCATTTTTTATTGTTTCTCGTGGTGCCACTCATTGACAGGGCTAAATTTTTCGGTACACGAAATGGCATTTTTTTTTTTTGGTTCGCACATAGAAAGGCTGTTAGTGCATGTTTGGATATTCAGCTACGCAGCTGACAACTTTTCTGGTTGCTTTGATCAATGCTGCACCGTCCAGTGGTTAATCTGCTACCGATTTTTATGCTTGTCCCATTTCTTGAAGGAATTACCAGCCCAGAGATTTTCTTGACAAAAGCAATTGACAAAATTTTACCCATTTCCGGATCAGTTTGTTGCATTTTCAGAGGGCCGGAAGGCCACTTTAGACTCCGAAATGTCAGTTCTTAGATGTATGTTAAAAGAGGAAAAAACCTTCAAAGTTGCCATCCATTTATGTGATGTTTGCTTGCACGGAACTTCATAATTTTTCTGTTTGAGGCAATGAATCGGAAGATGGATATGATCAAATCGTTGCTGGTTGC